TTTATGATTTACACTTGTTACTACCGCTGATATTGATTGCAAGTTTAATTACGCTAATCGGCGAACTATTCGGATTTTATGGCTCGGCCGGTGCATGGTAAATTACTTACACGCATAATTTATTGACTGGTTCAACTAATTGGTATTTATTAGGTGCTACACTGCTACAGGCAGTTTTTATAACCAGGCTGCAAGTGGCTGGCTTCATTTTGCCATACCACTATGCACAATGCTATCGGTTACAATCAGCTATTGCTGGACAGCCCGTATTAGTCATAGCTACAGTCGTCAAAGACTTGCGCAGCACAATGATCCAAGCCATCTATTTACGGCAGCCAATACAGAACAGCAGCACAGGCCCAGCAGCACTCGTAGTAGCATTAGCAGTGCTAATGGCGTAGAATCCATACACTGTTATTTATCTGCTCAAACAATAGAACAGCGTACGGCATCTTCAATGGCTACACCTTGGTATATTCAATTGAAACTGGCGACAGAGCAATTAATAAACTGCCCACGCACTACTCTAAAGCCACAGCCACGCAGCCAACGCTTAAAACGAACAATATCAGTATCGCCAACGCCACCACCATCGCCGTTACCACCATCACCATCATTATCATCATCATCATCAGAACAGTTGCATTTTAAACAATCAAAAGCTATGGAAGAAGCACTTGAGCCACCTCTGCGGCCTTTGACCGCGTTTCGACATAAACGATTTTCATTTGCATCTTCTATATCTCAATCGCCAAGTATTACACAAAGCGAACAACCAGTCACTCCACCGACTACATCACCAGCACAGCCTAAACGCCTTTCTGCATTGGTTAGAGAATGGACAATGTTATCAATACCAACAGCATCGCCATCATCACCACCCATTGGGATCACAGCTACTCCCACTGCAGCTGAGCCTACCTCCGAGGTAAAAGACGGCACTTTAGTTAATGCCACAACAATCAGCATACTATCTAGCTGTCCTTCAAATGAAAGCATGGAGATTCTTGAAGAAATCATACTAGATCCGGATCCTGAATTACCACAGACTCCAACAGCACCTATGCCTACTGCTGCTCCATTCGATACTGATAAAACACATGTTCATTCTTTGAGCATCAACACTTTACCAGGCAAACATAGCATGCCTCCTTCGCCAACTAAACTTACTCGAACTACTAGAATGCATCCTAACACACTTACCACAACTGTCCTTGAAAACTGGACACCTCCACTTATCAACAAATTTTATACATGGGCATTTATTATTCCATGGACACCAATGCTCATCTATATTGCCTACTTGGTCTTTCAACATGACCATTTAACCGCCCAAATATGTGCTCTAGTACTTTTTAACATATCTGGTTTATTACACTCCATCATGTATGGATGGTGCGAACGCCACTGCCGAATGAAAATCAACACTCCACTCTACAGTCCACCACACATGCTATGGCGACACGATACAGATTCCAATCGTATTGTACCAGGCTGGAAAGACGGTGCCGTCACTACTACTGCCACTACTACTACATCTGCATCTATTCGGAATACTGGCATTCATGGAAACTAAATATATCACTATACTACTGCAATAAAATCGATTTTTAAACATAACATTTATTAAGCTTCCTATTTCTTTTTGCCTGGTGGTCCTAGTGGTTCCCCAATATTCTTGCCAAGCAATTTAATGCCAAGTGCACGTTGCAATTTACTTAATACTTGTTGACTAGGAATAGCTAATAAATGCAATGACAACCAAACGTATTATTAATAAAGGCTTCTACTGGTCCCATCTTCGTAACTAGTACTTACCACGGCCAGCCTCATAGTCGTTGATAACGTTTGCCCTCTCATTAATAGTCTGGCCCAGATCCTTTTGTGTTATTCCCTTATTCTGGCGCCCTTTCTGAATGGCAAGACCAACGCTTAGACTAACAGTTTCCACTTTGGCAATGTTCTCATCGTTGTCGATTTTAGCCAAACGCTGATGCTCATCAGATCCCTTCTTATTGGTAGCACCCGTAACTGATATAGTTGTTAGCGTCTAATCGGTACTGCATAGCAATCTACAGCTATCATGCACTTCAGCTTACATTTACGCTCGGTAGCTACAACAGCACCTGTACGGCGAGCTTGATTCAATGCGCCTGCGCCCTTCGTTGCCCGTGCAACGTCTTGACGCTTGCGCAATACTGTAACATCATCCCAGTCAGACATTTTAAGCAAAGATTGATAGTAGTGGTTGGATAATCAGGTAATAAAAGGAAAGAAATTAACGGAATACAATGGAAGATCAAAAATGTCGATATAAATACTATAGTCATCTGTGTCGGGGAAAGGGGTGTCAGTATGACGCAACTTGCATCCACTTTTGCGAGTTGAGTTGTAAAATAAAGATAGATTTATTCCAATACCATTGCAATAGTCAATATCAGAATGTATAACCACCAAAAAGAATTGTTATGCTGCAGATCAGCTGCTGTGTAGAAAAAGACTACAACACACATGGGCTGCTGGTTGATTCACTAGGCAGAAACTGCACGTCGAGCCCGTACGGCCGCGGCCAATTCGTCCAGCACACCAATGGTTGAGTCAAACGATATACAAGCATCGGTGATACTTTGGCCAAAGGTGAGTCCAGCCGGGCCTTCTTCAGGCACATCTTGACGGCCTTCGACAATATTGGACTCGATCATGACACCAGTAATTGATGCGTCACCAGCCGAGATTTGTTTGGCCTAAACCGTGGGACATCGATACAAGTTATGTAAGCAAGCAATGTTGTTGGTATTCCCATACTGGTTATTCTACCTACCAAGTCAGATGCCACCAATACTTGATTGCTGTAGACCTTTCGGCTGTTACCATGACTGCAGTCAATCATAATCGATTCTTGTAGCTTAGCTTTGCTTAAATCGGCACGCACTTGATCAACATATTGTTTCTCGTAATTTGGACCGCTGCTGCCACCTCTAAAACAACAGTGTTAATGCTAAATTGTTAAATGAATTATTGTACTATTACCGAAGAATAATGTGACAAAAGGCATTTCCCTATTAAATAATGTTATTATTATTATATTCAGGTATTTAGCCATTTACCTTGGTATTTGTAATGGCAGCTAAGCCTTGCTTGGTTACACCCAAAAAGTGATGAGGATGCGACGAGGCACGAATAGCATCAATAGCAATGCGTGAGTTGCCATCAGTGCCATTCTTGAATCCTACAGGAAATGAGACACCAGAGGCTAATTCTCGATGCAGTTGGCTTTCCGTAGTGCGAGCACCAATAGCACCTAATGGATAGTCGACAGTCAATATACATACAAAACATTTTTATTATCCCTTCTTACCCCATGATATTAAATCACCAATAAACTGAGGCGAAATGGTATCTAAAAGCTCGCTACCAACTGGTATACCTGCATGAGTCTATAAACACATTATATTATACAATTAGATATTGATGGCAAAATAAACATTGTAATGCCTACCAAGTCACATAGTAATTGACGGGCAACTCGGAGACCGTGATTGATTTTAAAACTATTAGTATTTGGTTAGTATTGGTACTTGGCTAATACTACTAGTATTACCAGTATTGTTATTGTTATTGTTATTACTTACCTGCCATCAATGTTTGGATCATTAATAAGCCCCTTCCATCCAACGGTAGTACGAGGCTTTTCGAAATACGCTCGCATAACGATTACCAGATCGTTCCTGTGCTTTTCAGCAAGCTCTTTTAGTTGATTACCTAGATGCAGTTATTAGTACATCATCGGTAATCCAAATACCGATATCGATGTATAATCGCTTCTATTTACCATAGAGCAATGCAGCTTTAGGATCATGAATGGAACATGGACCAACAACGACCACCAGACGGTCGTCTTCTCTATTAACTACTGCGCAGCAATCACGACGTGCGCGCGCAATAGTTGCCTTGGACTCTTCAGACTAGAAAAGTAGCCGTTAGAGACATGCTATACAATTGCTATTCTAACATAAGATTTAGCATACCAGGGGGTGGTCTTGTTGAAGAATCTGTGGTGGAATAAGCGGATCGTAGCCATCAATACGCAAATCATCGTAGTATTCTACGCCATCACTGTGCTTAGTCTCGACGGACATCTTGAATAAAAGAAACGGCAATGCAGATAGTATACGTCGACAGCCTAATAGAACGGGAGTTGTGTGCAGTTTGCAAACAAGAAAGGACAGCAAACAGCTGAAGCATTAGCGGATATGCAATCCCTATTATAGGCGCGTCCCTTTGCCTAGCCAACAACGGAATCTCAATATAGACCCACGTGTTTAGATCTATTCCATCGAGATTGAGCTTTTGATGGCTATCCATCTCACTCACACCACCTGACAGCGCTAGAAGCTTTCACATGGATTCGCAACAACTACACCAAGACCTTGGTTGTAATATAACGCAATTATGGCATTAGCTAGATAAACAAACTAATTACATGGAATACTGGCTATCAACGTAAGCCAAGATGCAAAAATAGCGATAACAATGTTTTTATGTTATTGATAACGTTTATTAAAATCAGTATACTAATTGGTTACTAAATAGTTACACCAAATGTAGTTACACGTGTAGAAATAAAATAATACGCAATACACAATGCGTAATGAGCAATACGTATTTACATATCAACAATACAATATACTGATGCTTCATCTACCATTAATAAGATTTAGTATATTATTTCTGTGAAAAATAATAATAATGTAAATTATACTACTAATACCAATCAATTAAATAAATACTAAATAACATTTATCTAATTAAACATTATTAATATATTTATTAATTATAAAATATAAAACACACATAATTCAATATATAATAGTAGCTGAGACTTTTGCAATTATATATGCAGCCATTGGCTATTCATTCTAGCAATAGCTGCGTAAATTCTGTTGTTTAATTTAAAAATATTTTGCCTTATTTAGTTAAAAATGCACTAAATTTCAACAAGCAACGTGGCGCAGTGGAAGCGCGTTGGGCTCATAACCCAAAGGTCGGTAGATCGAAACTACCCGTTGCTACTTTTTTGTTTTGCTCGTATCCAGAGGTCACGTGACTAGATGGCGTAATATTTCATGAGAAAGAGTATTGTGTATGTATATATGCGTACTGCTTTTTAGCCAATAAAATGGGTGTGTGTAGTTAATTATTTTATAATAATTATTTTATTTTTATTTATTTCATCACCCATTATTTTAATAGTTAGTTTAACGAAGTTACTGTACTTTGACCCCCACGTTTTATGTACTCATTCCATTCCTTTTTCTTATTACTATCCTATTGTTCTATTCAGTAATATATTATACAATAATGTTAAATATAACAATATAAATAGCATGCGTATTTGAATATCAATAAAACATTATTCAATCACTAGTCTTTATTTCCCTTGTTTTACATCAACACATGTTCAAGTAACCTCAACGGTATGCCGTATATTCTGGTTACAACTATCACCACAGATCTTTCTGGTAAAGACACTCAACCTATCATTATTGCATATGGTGGAGGCCATTTGCTTTATTGATGGTCGGCAAATAAACCGCGCCTATCAAATTGATATCAAGAATGTTCAAGACAATGGTGAATATCAGAAATGCTAGTCATTCTACCTTTTTGTCACTATAGATGAGTATCTTATATTGCAAATATGCCCAAATGCAACAATAAAAGATTGGAAAATAGAAGAGACCATTTAGACACAAGGAAATCACACTGTACGTAGTAACAACAATAACAACTGCGGAACGATATGGAATCACAATCAATGGCTTTTATTAATATTCATCAATTTTTCTACACATGGCCAACAACAACAATGATCGGCCTCGTGAATTGCAAAGTAGTTAAATGAACATTATAACTATGTTTGCTGCGCAGAACAGCATGACTTTAATTGAAACAAATTTTGCTTTGAGGACTCCAAATGTGGGAGTCAAAGTGAAGTTCAACCAGTTTAACTTGTATTTCAATCAATACTAATTGGCAATCATCCAATTTACTATTGCTATTGTTATAAAACTTTACTGTTACAACAACTATGCTATTAGAACCAACAATTCATTAATGCCATTAGTATAACATAATAATTAACGAGCTAAATCAATTTATCTAAACTGTAAAACAAAGCAAATAATAACTTATATATATTTAATTGAATATTAAAGTATTCTATTATGGTACTGTCAGTATTCGTAATATATTAATATTATTTGCATTTAAAGTTACTAAATACATGTCTAATAGCTGTTTGTTACATTTAGGTGTCTGTATATTAAATTTTATTGTCAACTAGCTATAATATAAACGGAGCGTTTTGTGTATATCTGCACCGACAACACTTTATTGATTTTGTTATAATTCTGCATCAATTTATTTTTTTGTAAAAGCATTTTTTACAGCAACGTAATTGACGTTAAACAAATCTATACTAAACAATGTCCGATCGCGATTCTGCTGCTCTAGAAAACGACCAGTCAGTCAAGAGAGCCCGTATAGAAGAGAACGATAGCGTAGATAATATTCAGGAAGCGGCTACGACTGTAGCTGAAGAACCAGCAGCAACACCCACGACCGAATCAACACCTACCTCTCAGGAACAACAACAGACCGCCATGTTTCGTTTGAGGGTCAGTAATCTACCAAAGTATACGACAGGCAATGCGTTGAAAAAGTTTGCAGCCAACAGTCTGGGTCTAACTGAGATTCGGATTAATAAGGCACCTGCTTGGACCTATGCCATGGTGTCGGTTAAGGTAAGAGCCAGCAATAAATAGCAGTATGTTGCATTTGGTTTGTTAACTGGCACTGCTAGTAGAACGCTGATGAGCAGTTGTTAGTGTTGGAGAAATTCAACGCTGCTACTATGAAGAAAAATAAGCTACAAGCGGAAGTTGTCAACGACGAGGATCGTGAGCGTTTCTATGAACGAAAGCGCGAAGCACGCCGCGCTGAAGCCGAGACGGATACTCGAACACCCGACCAACGTTTGGCCGACCAAGTAACGCCAATGCACGCGTAAGTTGATCTACGCAACTGCCCAACCGCTAGCTAATTGCTATTGGATAGTATCGAGTATAGCAAACAGCTATTGAATAAATGGCGCACCTCCAAGAATACTATGGTTGATTTCCAAAAAGAAATGCGAAAGATTAGTGCCACTGCCAAGACACCATTGGCATGGGTTGATAACACGTATGTAGAATAGTTTGTTGCCAACTAGTTACTGATAATACTATGTTTATTTAGAGGAGCAGAGGCATTTGCTATCGAGGAAATTACACCATCACCCGTCCAGGAAGGATATCGTTCAAAGTGCGAGTTTACAATTGGCACAAATCCTAGTGATGAACCAACAGTTGGATTCTTATTGGGCGGTTATAAAGATGGCCAAGTGGCCGTACTGGTAAGTATAGATGTAGGATAAATAGTATGATTAATAAAGCAATCATCAAAATATAGAATGCCACCAATTGTAAACACGTTCACCCAGCTGCAAAGATACTGGCCAATTATATGGAGGTAATCAATCGAGTGGATTTGAATAAAATAAGTACTGATAGCAATACTGTAGAAATGTGTACGTGAGGCCGAATATCCAGTCTACAACCGAGTTACAAAGCAAGGTATGGACATGGCAATAGTTAAAATATAGATTGACTAATAATTAATATATTATAGGTGTCTGGCGTAATTTGCTAATCAAAACACAAGATACTGGCGAAAGTAGGTTGAAGTATAATGAGTTAAACTATATGTATACTAACTATGCTGCACTAGATATGGTTGTCGTACAATATAATCCTACTGATTTGTCAGTCGAACAAATAGATCAATTAAAGCAGCTTGTATCGAAGACATTTTTGGAACAAAATGAAGTACCAATAACTACATTGATGGTACAGGTAAGTAATTGGTTGATAGTATAAAATATATTGGTTGATTAATTGATTTATTATTATTATTATGACACAATTAGGCATGGGGCGAAATGTTTAATGGATTTACAGATAAAGCGCCATTTGAACAATTGAAGGGTGATGGCATTATACACGAAGAATTACTCAACTGCCGGTAAGTATTATTTGTATATCAATGTGATTATCATTAATGCTTATGGCTATATGTTATGATAGTTTCCGTTTGTCTGCCACTTCATTCTTCCAAGTAAATACAAAGGCTACCGAAAAGCTGTACAGCATTGTCCAGGAATGGTGCTCTTTGGGCGACCCACAAACTATTCTACTCGATTTATGCTCTGGTACCGGTACAATTGGTATTACTATGGCCTCAAAGGTGCAACAAGTCATTGGCGTTGAACTATGCGAGGAAGCAGTTGAAGCAGCTCGTCTTAACGTGGAACTTAATGGTATGTTTTTATACTTTCTCACTAATCATACTAATATCGATAAATAACACTTTCGCATTAGGCTGTACGAATGTCACTTACCATTGTGGTAAAGTGGAAGACCATATTGACCGTGTACTTAGCCAGTTGCCATCCAATGCACCAGTCGTTGCCGTACTTGATCCACCACGTGCTGGTGTCCATCCAAGTGTTATTAGTGCGGTGCGTCAGTGCGCAGCCATTCATCGTATTGTTTTCGTAGCATGCGATGCAAAACAAGCATCAAAGAACTTTATTGATCTGTGCCGTCCTACATCAAATCGGTACTGCGGCAAGCCATTCCGACCACTTCGAGCAAAGCCGGTTGATTTATTCCCGCATACAAAGCACTGTGAGATGGTCGTAGAGTTTGTTCGAGATGATAGCGCTGAAGTGGCAATGCCAGTCGAATAAAAATAATATAATGTTTGACTCAGCATAAATAAATGACGATGATTCACCTAGACATTAAATATTATAACTAATAAACACACAATAGAGTGACACTGATTATATGATTGATTGAATCCAAATTTATAAAGAATAACAAATCAACTAGCATTTGATAACGCCATTGGATGTTTATTTATCGGGATTAGGCCTAAATATTAAATAAAAGTAATCGCATTATTATATTGTGTGTAGCTATTGTCATAGTATTACTTACTTTGCCCATTCCACACGCAGAATCAAGTTGTCATAACCGTAGCCATTGATAGCCTCCAATGCACGCTGAGCATCTGATCGGCCCATAAACGTAACAAAGGCGAAGCCGCGGCATAGACCCGTCTCACGATCCTTGGACAAAAAGACACGATTGATGGGGCCGAATGGACGGAATAGCTCTTTAACATCTTCGTCTTGTACATCTTCAGACAAGTTGGTAACACGTAGTGTATTTTCATCTAAAAAAATGGTAATTAAGCATTAGCAATGGAAATAATGATGGCAGCAATAACTAATAAATATTTACCACGACGATCGCGATCAGCAAAGGCATCGCCGCCACTGGCACGCGATGGGTCGCCACCAGCGCGGAGATGGGGTGGCACGTAGCTGGATTTGCTTTCGCCTGCAGCAGCAGCACCTAGTAATAATTTATAATCTATCAATTGTCATGTCATTATTATTAATAATTATACATACCTGCGCCCATGGATGGTTTGACGCTAGTTTCCAGTTCATCAAGCGGCTTGAGCGTATCTTTGTATGGACATTTGGAGGTAAAATGGCCACCTTTGCAAATACGACATAAAATCTTTTTGCCTTTCATCTCTTGGCGCTTCTTTTCCTCATCGTCGGCATCTTCGTCAATAGCCTAATATATATATACATATGTATATCATTTGTTATTAATAAACAAACGAATAATAGTATCAAGTCATTTACCGCTCCGGTAGTCGATAGTTTCAAAAAGACCTTTTCACCAATAACGGTGGTGGTCACATCTGGACCTGGTGCTTTGTTTTTTTCGTCGCCAAACTTCTCCCATTGCTATAATAGTAAATAAATAAATAGTTTAGTGTTATTATTAAGCATATTTACAATGTGCTTACTTTACGCAAAGCAGCGGCCTTGTGAACACGATCTTTTACCATATGCATACGAATGCGACGCGTCACCTAGATTATTAGT